TGCTGCTACTTATGGACAAGCAAACTTCAGAGTTGCCCATGTCAGAAGTAGCTTAATCAAAGCCTAAAGCTTTTCTGGAGAAGAACAACCTGTTTTCCCAGAGAACTAAGTTAAGGTGTTCCTCTTAAGGCCCCCAAAGAGAATTTCAACTACATCACAAGCTCTATGTTTTTAGTCAGGCCATTCCAAAAGAAGCTGTCAAATTTGGTGAAAATATAGCCAGTTATTTAATTTTGTGTGATTTATTAGAAGACAGATATTTAAGTCTTTTCATTGTCCACATCGTAGTTGGGGCAAATTAGGGCATCCTATTTTACAATACCTGTTAATTCTTTTCTCTCTGGTTTTTGTTTGTTCGTTTTATGTAGCATCCCAACCTTTTTTTTTTTTAATCTATCTCTTTAATCCTCCTTAATCACTACAGCCATTCTTCTCTTTCCTTCTCTTATTTTTGTTTTTTTCCTTAAGATTATTTTACCTACTCCATGGGATTTGCCATGCTGCTCAGAAATAAAAGGAAGAGTGAACTGTCACTCAGAAAGGGAACCCCCAAATGACCTCAGATGAGCTATTTCATACATTTTTTCAAGTCACTGTGATTTAGACACTGTGATTTAGACACTGTGCATTAGACAAAAACTGCACACATAGGAAATCTGAGCTATGTCCTTGTCTTGTACAATGAGTTTCTATTCTCGCTGCTGCAGAAATCTCAAATCCTGGACAGCAGCTTTGCTTCTAAACACATCTAGAATGTGTTCTTTCCCGATGACCTACTAAAGGGTTAAAAAAAAAAATAGCCACATCAGAAGAACTTCACATTGCTTCACTGCAGAGGAGCTTAGTGATTTCATCGGTTTGGTTCTGTTATTTTTATTTGGTTTTCATCTTCCCATTGAATTCCTCACCCTCCTCTTCTCTATTTCCTCCTGCTGCAGTCACCTGACAGTCACTTCTCTCTGAAGTTGACACGTTGTCAGATGACTGACTGTCCAGCAGCTTTGTGTATTATTACTGTTCCTGTCTTTCTGGAAAAGATGTGCTTTGGCTCTTCAACACCAAGAGGCCTAATCATGACTGACTCGGAATGTCAACTTAATGTAGTCAAATAGCTCGAGGGAGGTAAAGAATTTCAGCAGTGAATTCCCTGAGGTTGATGACTCAAATTGACCTCCAACCACCACAATACTTTTGACGCTTCCTATGGCGTTTGAGGCAAAATTGGGGCAAGTATAGTGGGAACTAATAAGCCAAGTGTAAAGGAATTCAAGAACTCAATTTTTAAGAGCAAGCCTCAACTTTCTACACCATATGAGACAATGTCCCTAAAGGACTTTGGGTATGAAATCTATGAGAGCTATGATTATGAAGTAGTAAATCTGAAGCCACAGCAGAAAACAGGATTCACTGTGGACTGCCACCGTCAATGATGAGCTCCTACACCACTGTATTTTATTGAATCTAAGACACCTTTAATTTTCAAATGCACCTTTATTGTATAGATAACTGAAAAGAGAAAAAGCTGGCATGTGAACCAAGATGCACTGCTTTCTTAGCACATTAGTTATTAAGACTCATTCCAATTTCTTTCAGGTTAGAATGTGAAAAAGTGCACATCTTAGAATCCATGAAATACAGTAAATTCTCTTCACACTAGAAAAAACTCTCAGGATCTTTACCACATCATTTTGGAAATATTCTATTTATATTATGGGGATAGAAAAATGGTTATTTTATGTTAAAAAAAAAAAACCTCCTAGATATTTTAAGACAGAGTAACAATTGAGATAATGGAGTGCTATTGCTAATTGTAAATATCCATTTTTATTACTCATTTCTATGGGGTAACTAGGTTTTTTTCAATATTTGCAAAATCTTCCTCAGAATTCCACTAGAAATAGATATTTTTTCTTCATTATCAAATTCACTGTTAATTATATTCTGCCACTGGTAATTATCTATCTTAAATTGCATCTTTAACATCCCAGGGATCTGTAATGAATAAAAAGTAATCCTTTAAGGGCACCAAAATGCAGTTTGATGCTTCCTTTGATCCAGTACTTTGAACAAAAGTGACTTGTGTTTGGAGTGCAGTGGAACCATAGCATCTAAACCATAGCATACCCCCCCCCCAAGACTTTGTCTTTCCAGGCTGGGTGGCAATTCCAAGTTGTATAAGCTTTATATATAAAAAAAAAAGGGCAGGTAAACTGTATTAATGCCAATTATTCTAAAAAGAAAGGTAGACTTTTGAAAATAGATATTCTAGATCCCAAGAAAAGAATTCCCACATTGATTTTAGTCCTTTTTGTTTCCTTGTTATTTTGTTTAAATGTCTGTCTCCAGTGCTCCCATAAATATTATAGGAGTTGCATTCCCTTGTTTCAGCCACCAAAGACATCTGTATAATCAGAACTGTGATTGACAGGTGACATCCTAGAATCTTAAGCATTGACCAAAAAAGTAGTTCCCCTTCCTTACTTGCTAAATCTAGAAAGCAAGCTAATAGAGTATTTTCTAAGGAACACTGTCTATGATACATGTTTTCCTAATTGTATTCTATTTCTATAGCTTCTCTATGTTATAGGTAGGATTCTCCCTTACTGGTCTTTGTACAGGTTTTATTTCATTTTCTATTAAATTGTAATGGCACCATTATGACCTATAGCATTGAGCAGTTTTTTAACCCATGAAGTTAAAGTCCAGTTATCTGCATTTGTTAATTGATGAGAAGAGAGACCATGAAAAGAACAAAAACAGTTGAAGGCCTGAGTATCAATTCGTGATATTGTGACCAATTTACAAAGACATTTAGCCACAGCTGGGTACCACAGCCAAAGGTGGAATTATGATAATGCCATTCAAAATTAACAGTCCATAACTATCAAAGACAGGTGCAAGGCAAATTGAATTTGGATATTAACGAGATTAAAATGAGATCATTCATGCAGACCTCTGGATTTATATACTGTTGCTTTTTTATAGGCACACTAAAAGCATTTTCTTTCCCCATCAGGGAAGGTGCCTGCTGGGTGATCCTGTGAGCTGTCAGGGCTCTGTCAGGAGGTTCTTGTTGATAGACATATGTCTGGCCACTTGAGAATTGCATTGGCGGGAAATATACTTGCATAAGTCAATTATTAATGAGAGTGGCTTTAACAACTCCCTGAGAAAGTGGGGCAAGACTTCTTGTGAAACTGATTTCAACTGAATTCACCGATGCTAAAACCTGGCATTTTTTTTTAAACTTTTCATTTCTTCTCATAAAATCATCATGAAATAAGCACATCACATTTTTATATCCTAATCACAATCCCAGTGTCTCAAGTTTGGCTTCCTTTTTCCATCAAAACCATTCCTATGTTTCGATCGGTAAAGTGTGCTGCTCAGTTTCATTTGGGATTTGTACCTGTGTTTTCGTTTTCCATTCGTTTATGTTTCTTTGGTTCGTAGTGTCAGAAGATGATGTTTTTTATGACAAACTGCCCTCGTTTGAAAGGCGCTGTGAAACGCCTGCAGGTATGGTGCTAGCCAAGTGATCTTTAGATCTCTAGATTGTCAGAATCCAAGCCATTATCCATCTGAATGCTATCAACTTCATGGACATGCTCCTCACCTCATGAGTGTCCGAGCTCCCTCAGATGCACCCTGGATATTTATTGTTCATTGTGGAACTCATGCCACTGAAAATTTTTTTAAGTGAACACTAAAAAAAGCAGCAGGTTGCATGACAGTTTCTCAGTGAAAGGTTTGAAAAAAAAAGGTGAGATGCTATTGCTTTGTGAATTTACAAAGGAAGGAATAATTTAACTGCTCAGAATCACATGTCCAGTGACTGCTTTTTCATCTGAAAACGAAGAGAGCACCATCAATAATCTTGTTTTCTCTTTGGTACATAGGTAAAGGGTGTTTTGTGTCTGGATGCCTAAGGTGATTCCAGGGGAGGGGACGGAAGGCGTATGACGTCTTCCGCGAACTTTAAATTGATATGCAATGCTGTGGTCATTTAAACTTAAGCTAACGTTTAATACAACCTGTAACTCCACGTTTATCTTTTTGGAAACATAGAAGGGGATGACATTGAAGATGAAATGGATACGGCAATTGCTGAATGACCGTTTGCCCAAATTAGTGCAGTTAAAATATGCTGACGCCCCTGCATGGCCAGGAAGAATTCCGCTCCATGCACACACGCATCAAGTATCCAGCTACCCACAACACGTGCCCATCCCGTTAGGCCTCCATAGCTTTGCTTTGCTTTCTGTTTCCTGAACTAAAAAAAAAAAAAAAAAAAAAAAAAATTGGATTGCTGGCCTTCCCTTCCTCCTGCACGCTAATGGCATGCAGTGCCTCCACCCTTCCCCATAGTGAGATGAATGACCTGCTCTGTAACTCACATTGTGTCCTTCTCTCTCCCTCTCCTTAACCTTTCCCATCCCGCTTCAAGTCTTTGTGTGTTTTTTTTTTCCTCAACAAAAAAAAAAAAAAAAAAAAAAAAATTGGATTGCTGGCCTTCCCTTCCTCCTGCACGCTAATGGCATGCAGTGCCTCCACCCTTCCCCATAGTGAGATGAATGACCTGCTCTGTAACTCACATTGTGTCCTTCTCTCTCCCTCTCCTTAACCTTTCCCATCCCGCTTCAACTCCTGGCCATACAGAGAATGAACAGCCTTCCCTCGTTTGGTTTGACAGAGGAAAGTTTTATTTGACTTTTGAAGGTAAGTAGTACATAGCATACCAGATTCTGATGTATACTGCCTTCGCTCTTTTTTCCTCATCTGCACTTCCAAATCCCAGTTCTCATCACAAGTTCTGGTCTCACTTTCTATATAAAAATGCTATGGCTACTTAGACAATATTCCATACTAAAGAAAATGTGATGTGAATTTGATTTGCACATGATCTTTAATTATTCTATTTTTAAAGTGAAAGCCAATTTTCAGCTAATATTAGTGACTTAATTAACTCCAGTCAATTGAAAAACAAAACAAAAACAAAGTACACCTTTTTCTGGCCAAGGAACTTAACTCTGTCAACCAGGGCTCTTTCCTAACTCTTGCAAATGCAGTGTCACAAATGGAAGGACATTTTTGGTTGGTGTTGGCATTTAACTTTGCTCTGAATAATTGATATTTAGGTATGACATCCATCACTGTAAAATGTAAATGTGCATAGATCCCTGACAAGGAATACTGCATAGGAAATTAGAAAAATGGGGAAAGGAAAAAAGGAGTATTTAAATAAGTCGATCTGTACCTCCTGAAACTGATTGGAATGACAGCAATAAAATGGACAACTATGGCTGAACTTGCCGCTTCGGATGATTAAGGAAAATATATGTAAATATAATGTCAAATCTCTAACCTCCATGTTTGATAACTTGTTCTATTCTGCTTTAAGGATAAACTTTCATCTTAACAGGACAAGCATTTAATAAAGTGGCCCACATAAACTAATGGTGGGAAAAATAAAGTAATTTAACTTAACTATCTTATATGTAAGATTTATCACATAAGCGCCTGCTCGCTACCATTTGAAATGGCTAAATTTATCTACTGATTAAAAGTTGGTTGAAAAATAGGATACTCTAAAAACAAGCCTAAATTTTGAACTTGTCTTTGTGTTTTATAAGAAATTTTTTTCTTGACATGTATGTGTATTTTAATGAAGTTTTAAAAATCAGAAGAGCTGATATATCATTCATGTAATGTAGGCTTTTTTCTCTCCATGGTTAATTTTCCTTTAAGAGTGTCTTGGAGATGGGAGTCTTTAGTTCAGACAAGCGTAGCTTACAGTAGGAGCGATGGTGTGAATTCAGGTTTTTCTGATACCTTGATGCCTTGTCTTGGCATGAATAGAAAACAAGTAGAAGAACAGTCATCAGAAGAGAGTAAATTATGGGACCAGCAGTTAGCATAATGGCTATGTCACTGGACTCCCATGTAGTCGACCACGGTTCAAGTCCCGGACCCAGTGGCTTAAAAATCACACCGGGCACGTGTGCGTGTGTGCCCAAGATCCCAAGAGGAGAATGGAGGAGAAGGGATTGCGGCATAGTCATCCTCCCAGGGGGCGGGTGATTGCTTGCTTTCTGTCTCTCTGTCTCTCTCTGTCTGTCTGACAAGCACATGCGCCCTATAGCAAAAACCTCTCAAAAAAATAAATAAATAAATAAAGAGAGAGAGTAAACTAGTGTTTTCCATGGGTGTCAGCCTTCATTGCCTCAGGTCATTAATTTTGTGATAAACAAAATACAAAGTACACAAACTTGTCTCCTCCTCAATTTTCTCGTTAAATCTCTCTGTCTCTCTGTTTCTCTCTCTGTCTCTCCAGGGAGCACATGCACCCTATACTAAAAATCTCTCTTTTAAAAATTAAAAAAAAAGAAAAATGTGAGCTAAGAGAAGTCATGCTAGAAAGAGTTTTAATAGAAATGAGTTGAAATCCTTAGTATATTGGTACCTTTATCTTGGACTTTGTTCAAACTGGGAAGTAAAGGTGAGGCTTCTGAGGAACTGTGTTCTGAATAGCCACTTCATGAATGTGTGTGGCCCTATTTGTCTTCCCAGGAAATGCTTGTGTGGATAAAAGTATGTTAAAGTCCACCTCTAGAGAAGCTTTAAGAGATGCTGGATAGTAGGCCAGCAGAACAACACAAAGCTCTGTGAGGCTGACCCATATGAGAATGTCCTGGGTTCACATCCAGAGACCTCCTAGAATACCCTGGGCATGTGCATGTCTCTGATCCAGGGCTGGCTGAGGTTGACAGAAGATGAAAGCATCAGTAGCCTGTGGAGTTTGCTCTCTCTCTCTCTCAATCTCTCTCTCTCTCTCTCTCTCTCTCTCTCTCTCTCTCTTTCTCCTTGTCTCATCATTTATGCATAATTAGTTGCAGGTATTTTTAGTGCAAAAATGGAAGAAATTTTGGGGGCTGTGGTGATAGAAATGGTGACATTTTAAATTACTTTGAGAATAATGACCCCACCTAAAGTCTTATACTCCAAAAAGACTGTCATTCAACATATTTTTTTTAAGGTTTTTACCATAGGGCACATGCACTCACCAGAGGGAGACAGAGACAGCCAGTGAGAGGGGAAAGTGAGAGGTCACCCCTCAGGGACAATGGCTACACTAAAATCCCTCCTCCTCCGTTCTCCTCCTGGGACTTTGGGCATGCACATACACACGCCCAACTTGACTTTCAAGCTGTCAGATCCAGGACTGTCAGCCTGTAGGAGTCTTAACCACTACACTTAACCACTACACCACCTGCTGGCCCGTGAATAACACTTCTGGCATATTTTTCTAGGGCACTCTTATTCACCCATATTTGTTAACATCATCATTACCTTCAGTTCTTCATTCAGGGAATGTAGAAGAAAAGAAAGATTCCCATGTCAAAATATCCCCCTAAACTAAATAACCATCTGATAATTCTACCCTCTACACTCCTGATTGTTGTTGACAGCTAACCTTAGGGCATTTCCTAAAGATTCTATGTGGGTGACCCACCCAACCCACTGCCTCCAAGGCCTCTTGGCTTCTTCAGCTCTAACAACATCCTTCTGCTCTACTCAGTAACCCACAGCTCTGGCCACACCCTTCAAGTGGTTCCCACTAGTAAGTCTCATTTTGGCTATTCCATCACTAACAACTTTACTTCCTTCTCATATACCAGGAACTAGATTAAGCAATGATTCTTTCATTCAACAATCATTTTTGAGGGCCTGCTCTGTGCTAACACTGTCCTAAGCCCTCCTAGTCAGTAGTTAATAAAACAGAAAGAAGCCCTGTAACCATAATGCTAATGCAGAAGGTTAAAAATACGACAATACCACTAGCCTCATAGTACAGCAGTTAAGGGAACTGAATCTAACATGGTTAACCACTGTTTGAGACTCAGCTCCAAAAGCTTTGAAAAACATGCCAAGCACTTGTGTGTGTGTGTGTGTGTGTGTGTGTGTGTGTGTACGTGTCCAATTGTGACAGAAAGGAGGAATGGAGGCAAATGAATAGCAATGTGAGCATGCCTTATTGGGATGTGCTTTTTTTTGGAAAGGTTTTTGCTATAAGGTGTGAGCGCTCACCAGAAAGACAGAGAGACAGACAGAAAGCGAGAAATCACCCCACGGGGGGATGGCCACATTACAATCCCTTCACCTCCTCCATTCTCCTCTCAGGATCTTGGGCAAGCACGCACATGCGCCCAGCGTGAGTTTAAGCCACCGGGTCTGGGACTTAAACCGCGGTCGACTACATGGGAGTCCAGCGACATAGACATTACGTTAACTACTGGTCCCGGGATGTGCTTTCTCTCTCTGTGCTCTGGAGAGTGCATGTGCCTTCTGGCAATTAAAAGAAAGAGAGACAAAAAGAGAGAGAATAAATAAATAAAATATATAGAGAGAGTTGGAAATGAGTTCTACAGAAAAAAGTAAAATCTGTCAGAAGAATGGAACATATTGGGGGTTGCCATTTTAAATAGGGTACCTAAAAATATAAGAATTAAATAATAATAGCAAACATCTGAGCACTCGCTACATACAAAGTATTATGCTTTCCATGTATTATCTTTTTTCATCTGCACAATTCACTGATGAAGAAATTGAGATTCAGATAATATAATTTTTACAAGGTCACGCAGTCAGGGAGAGAGAGAAAGGATTTAAACTTGGGCCACTTAGCTGGAAATCACTCTGCTCTATCACCTTGACCTACTATGAAAACAAGATCTAATTCAGTCTTTGGCACAGTAAGGGCTTTTCTCTACTCTCCTAACTTCCCAGTGCTCTTAATTCTCAGGGATTATTCCTTATTTTTTACCTCACTGAGACCTCTATTCTCATGTCCTTGTGTGTGTGTGTACGTGTCCAAAATTGTGACAGAAAGGAGGAATGGAGGCAAATGAATAGCAATGTGAGCATGCCTTATTGGGATGTGCTTTTTTTTGGAAAGGTTTTTGCTATAAGGTGTGAGCGCTCACCAGAAAGACAGAGAGACAGACAGAAAGCGAGAAATCACCCCACGGGGGGATGGCCACATTACAATCCCTTCACCTCCTCCATTCTCCTCTCAGGATCTTGGGCAAGCACGCACATGCGCCCAGCGTGAGTTTAAGCCACCGGGTCTGGGACTTAAACCGCGGTCGACTACATGGGAGTCCAGCGACATAGACATTACGTTAACTACTGGTCCCGGGATGTGCTTTCTCTCTCTGTGCTCTGGAGAGTGCATGTGCCTTCTGGCAATTAAAAGAAAGAGAGACAAAAAGAGAGAGAATAAATAAATAAAATATATAGAGAGAGTTGGAAATGAGTTCTACAGAAAAAAGTAAAATCTGTCAGAAGAATGGAACATATTGGGGGTTGCCATTTTAAATAGGGTACCTAAAAATATAAGAATTAAATAATAATAGCAAACATCTGAGCACTCGCTACATACAAAGTATTATGCTTTCCATGTATTATCTTTTTTCATCTGCACAATTCACTGATGAAGAAATTGAGATTCAGATAATATAATTTTTACAAGGTCACGCAGTCAGGGAGAGAGAGAAAGGATTTAAACTTGGGCCACTTAGCTGGAAATCACTCTGCTCTATCACCTTGACCTACTATGAAAACAAGATCTAATTCAGTCTTTGGCACAGTAAGGGCTTTTCTCTACTCTCCTAACTTCCCAGTGCTCTTAATTCTCAGGGATTATTCCTTATTTTTTA